CCCAAAGCCCCAGTAGATAGTTGTATGTCATAGCTGCACAGCCTTCTAGTTGCTGTATGTGGGACGCGGCCTCAGCATGGCCAGAGAGGCGGTGCGTTGGTGCGCGCCAGGGATCTGAACCCGGGCCGCCAGCAGCGGAGCGCGCGCACTTAACTGCTAAGCCACGGGGCCGGCCCTGTAATAAATGTTTTAAATGTAAAAAATTAGGATGGCTTAATGGATAGAAAGAAGCATGGACAAGTGGATAAGTATAAGTATGTGATAAAATAAATATAGTAAACTGTTAGTTGTAGAATTTAGGTGGTGGGTATATAAGTGTTCAGAATATAATTCTACTAACTCTTCTGTGTATTTGAAAATTTTCATGAATGAATGTTGAGAAAAAAATTAGATGCAGGGCCTTGGAGGATATCCTGTGCAAGTGAGGGGCCCTAAGATTAAGCTTAATAGTTTCACAGTAAATCCACCTCTGCCTGTGGGTCTGTCAGAATGTGAATAACTAATCTACAAGGGAGAATTTTCACTCTAACTCCTACAGCAAAGAGAACAAAGGATTTTAAAGAAGAAAATAGTAGTACTTGATGATAAGTACTACTTGATTCTAGAAAAGAATCATTTTCAATGTTCAACCTGTCCATGTTTATTCTTCTACATTTTTTTATTTATAGGAAGAAAATGTTATAGATTTAAAAAAAAGAAATCAAGAATAACTAAAAGATAAAAAAGAATAGAAATCAGCCATAATTTTATTCCCCAGAGATGATTACTAGAATATAAGCTCCAAATGTATTTTGTTTATTGTTGTCTCCTCAGTTATTGGAACAATGCCCAGAACGTTGGCTGTTGAATGATTTGGGAGGAGTTCTGGACAGAAAAAAAAAAGCAACATGTAGAAGTAAGTGCTAGTGTATCCTAGGTAAAGCATACACCATGAGCAAATGTGTAAAAATTTGTAACAAATGGGCCACATGCAGGACACACAGGTTTGAGTCTGGCAGAGATTAAAATCTGGGAGTTCCTAGGCTAATGTATTTTGTTTTTCCTATATGGGATTAAAATAATTTTTGATGAAATGCCAACATTTAAAAATAAGGACAATTTACAGAAAAATCTGAATTTCCAGCTTCTTTTGACAAAATGGAAAGCTCTGGGACCACTGGGATCCCATTCCTACATGATAAAAATAGGCTGGAGCTGAGTGGAGGCTGTTCTTAACAAAGCTCATCTGTTCACAGAAATCCCCTCAACTCACTCATTTAGATTCCCTCCTAGACTCTGTAGGCATTGGAGTTTGCAGTCTCTGATAGAACTCTGGCACTTGATACTGGAAGTCAGGCTGGGGTCAGAGATACAAGGGTATCCAAATGGGAAGTTTGTACTTAGTTCAATGGGCCAGAGGAAGGATTGGACAGTGTTTGCTCAGTTACTATCATTGTGTAACAAATCACCCCAAAATTTAGTGGCTTAAGACAACAATAATTTATTTAACTCATGATTATGTGAATGGGCAGTTTGGGCTGACACAGCTGTATGGTTCTTCTGGTCTTGACTGGACTCAGTCATGTGACTGGGTCAGGTGCTGGGCTAGCTGGTCTAGTATGAGCTCAGCTGGGACAGGTGGTCTCTCATCCTTCAGCAACTAGCCCAGCTTATTCATGGCTGGGTAGGGTTTCAAGAGAGGAAGTGGAAGTTTGTAAGGCCTCTTGAAACCTAGGCTTGGAACTGGCACACCATCACTTCTTCTACATTCTGTTGGCCAAAGCAAGTCACAATGCCAGCCCAGATTCAAATGGTGGGGAAGGAGACTCCACTTCTTAATGGGAGGAGCTGTAAAGTCACATTGCCAAAAGATGTGCATACAGAAAGAGATATGTTTTTTTTGTGTGTGTGTGAGGAAGATCAGCCCTGAGCTAACATCCGTGCCAATCCTCCTCTTTTTGCTGAGGAAGACTGGCTCTGAACTAACATCTATGGCCAATCCTCCTCCTTTTTTTTCCCCAAAGTCCCAGTAGCCAGCTGCATGTCATAGTTGCACATCCTTCTAGTTGCCATATGTGGGACGAGGCCTCAGCATGGCCGGAGGAGCGGTGTGTCGGTGCGCGCCCGGGATCCCAACCCGGGCCGCCAGCAGCGGAGCGCGCGCACTTAACCGCTAAGCCTCGGGGCTGGCCGGGGAGAGATATGTTTTTGCAAAAAGTCTATCATAGTTACTATCAGAGGTGTATTTTTCTTCCTCTTTTTTTTTGCGAGGAAGATTAGCCGTGAGCTAACGTCTGATGCCAATCCTCCTCTTTTTTGCTGGGGAGGCTGGCCCTGGGCTAACACCCATGCCCATCTTCCTCTGCTTTATATGGGACACCACCTCAGCATGGCTTGACAAGCGGTGTGTTGGTGCGCGCCCGGGATCTGAACCTGCGAACCCTGGGCCGCCGAAGCAGAGCGCACGCTCTTGACCACTACGCCACCAGGCTGGCCTCTAGAGGTGTATTTTTGACAATATCATTTGGAGTGGGATATGTTTTATATGACTGGAATTGTTTTCTATTTGTAACAGAAAAGTGCTGCCAACCTACACCCATAAATAACTTCATGCCAAAGGATTTGAGAAAGATGCCCAGCTTGTGCCTCTTCCAGCTTCTTGTCCAGGGACCCCTTAGTTTCAGTTTCAATACACAGCTTAGTGAAAGTCCGACAGTTTCTCTAAGATTTCTGTAAATGAATGAACAGAAAGTGAGACAAGAGCAGGGAGCTGACAACCAAGCTAGAAACACAGAGATGTTTCTACACTGCACAACAGTATAGAAACTGCATTCCCCCCGGGTCTGGCTGGAGCCTACACCACCATCTGCATTCATGCCTTTGTGATATGAGGTTCCCTCTTACTCGGCCAACTTTTAAATACAAGTAGCTTGTGGGAAGGATAAACTCACATCCAAGTGTGAATTAGTCTCAGCTATCAGATTCTCTAATACCAGGAGGACCCTGGGTTGTAAGAGAGCATGGAAGAGGGAGGAAGAAGACAAGGGAGAGTTTGAAGGAGAGGAAGGTACTAGGCAAAACATTGTCAGCTTCTCATCCATCCCAAAGTCTAATTCTTCAGGAAGCACTGTTGAGTCTGCTCTTCTGTTCTGTGGTGGCTTCAGATAGAAGCTGGGCCACAATTTTGATTTTTCACTCTGAAAGGTAGGCATGGGGGTGAAGGGAGGGGAAGGATGAGGGATGAGATACCCTCTCAGGCGTCTGTTAGAGTGATTCCCAATGGACCACTTATGAGAAGGCCTTAAAGAACAGTCCTAGTGACAGAGACTTCTGTAAATAGTGACAATGTCCTTGGGGAACTGCCTCAAGGCAGTTCCTCTTTCAAGGCATTTCATCTTCAATAATCAGTGTGCTCCACCCCAAGGTACTCCCACATGTGTGCCCCAGGATATATGCATAAGAATGTTTAAAGGGGCATGGTTCCTAAGAACAAAGTACCGGAACAGCTAAAATATCCATCAATAGTGGAATAAGGAAGGTAAGGTAAGGGTAAGGAAGATGCATGGTCATCTAATTGTCTACTACACAGCAGTGAAAATGAATGAGTTGAAACAACCACATTCCATTAGCACGGATGAATTTCAAATCATGATGTTGAGCAAGTTATGGTAGAATATAGTATATCATTTTTGTCCTCATACATGAGAAACCAAATAATATAGTGTACCTAGTTGTAAAACTATAAATAAATTTTGACCACAAAAGTTAAAACAGTGGTTTCCTCTGGAGGAAGGGAGAAGAATGCGAAAGGCAGGGACTCCTAAGAGGATTCTGAGTCAGTGGCAATGTTCTATTCCTTTACCAAGGGGAGGGTGTGTGATGTACTTTGATTTTTTTGTGTGTGTGAGGAAGATCAGCCCTGTGCTAACATCTGCCAATCCTCCTCTTTTTTTGCAGAGGAAGACTGGCCCTGGGCTAACATCCGTGCCCATCTTCCTCCACTTTATATGGGACGCCACCACAGCGTGGCTTACCCAGTAGTGGTGCGTCGGTGCACGCCCGGGATCCGAACCGGTGAACCCCGGGCCACCACAGTGGAGCGCGCGCACTTAACTGCTTGCGCCACCAGGCCGGCCCCTGTACTTTGATTTTTAAAAAACTGCACAGATATATTTTATACACTGCTGTAGTATGATACCTATTACAATAAAGATAAGAAAAAAAATTATTTGTGTCTTTGAACTGTGTAGCGACTTCAGTGGAAATACTTCCCCAATCCAAGGATGCTGCATGTGAACCACTCTCTCTTGTGTCTGGTGCTTTGTGGAAAGTTTGAGAGATCTGGATCTAGAGTGAGAGAGGAAGACATTCCCGGGGAGGGAGACGGTGTAAGGAAACTATGGAGAAGCAGCTGATAACATGGTGAGATAAAAGTCTGAGTAGGGGAAATTATCCCCTACTTTTATCCCCTTGAAAAAAGAAAAGAAGGAAGGAAGGAGAGAAGGAAGGAAGAAAGAAGTTAGGAAATGAGGGAGGGAGGGAGGAAGAAAGAGAGAGAGAAAGAATATAGGCTGGAGTAAAGTAATCTGCCTTCTCAATACACTTTAGACTAAACCACACCCTTAGGGCAGGGTTTCTGGAGTCCTGTAGTATTGATATGTGGGCTGGATAATTCTTTGTTGTAGGCGGCTGTCCTGTGCATTGTAGGATGTTGAGTAGCATCTATCCAGTAGATGCCAGTAGCATGCTCCACCCCACCCCATCTCTCCTGAGCTGTGACAACCCAAAATGTCTTTAGACATTGCCAAATGTCCCCCTAGAGGCAAAACCACCCCTGGTAGTGAAACACAAAGGAAATCTTTCACAAATGTGAAATAACACGTGTGGCTCATGCTCTTTAGACCAGAAAGGTCTAGTAGCTCAGGCTCTTTAGACCAGAAAGGTCTACCTTTAGCAGAAGGCCGCCTGGATGGCTCATATGCCCGGCAATCATCAATAATCTCCTGCAACTGTGAAGGGCAGTCTTCACCCAGAGGCTCCAGGTACCGGTCCACAGCCACTAGCTGGTAGATCTTCTTGGAATCAAAGCCTGGCATGGAAACAATAGGATGGGAGGCTTAAAAATTTGCTTTGGCACTCACGCATCTCCCTGGATGCTGATGGCTGGCATCGGAACTTGGGACTTTGAGTACTAAAGAAACAGGAGCTTCCAATGACCCCACTGAACAGCCCAGGCAGTGCCCACATTGGAGAAAAAAGCACCCAGGACAGCACTGATGGGAATTTCTAGTCTGTTGGAAGGAGACCCAATCCCAGCACCATCTGAGCCAGCCTTCACACTCGTTACCTTCAAATGGGATCTTCCCAGTGGCGATTTCCCAGAGGACGATTCCAAAGCTAAAAGAAAACCAAGAAACTGAACCACCATAACATTTCCCTTTTCTCACACACCTCTAGCCATTTCCGGAAAACTCAGTGAATTTTCTGATTACCACCCCGTCCCACTCAACAGAGTTGAGTTATAATGGTCCTCGAAGGTGGGGTTTGACTTAGGCTTTCCTGTCTTGTTCATCGGAGTTAGAATCTGCACAAGAACATGAACGTACCTGTATATTTCAGCTTTTATGTCATATCTATCAAACACATTTTCCAGTCTCTGAGGTGAGATGTATGCTGCAGACCTGACTCTCTCTGCTTCTTTTCCCTTAGTTTCTCGACTGATGGAAGTCTGTGTTTTGCTCAACTCAAATCCTGCAAGCTAGACAGAGAGGTGACTTAGCAATAGAAAGAAACAGCACAATCTTGGGAGTGGGGTAGAGGGCAGGGAGTTGATGCTACACAAGATTGTCAAGGGATGGTCTTTTACCTTTGGGATGTATTTCCAGTGGTGTCTTCTGCCTGTGTGGCTACTCTACCACTGGCATTACGGGTTCAACTTATAGTGCATCGACCAAGAGATACACAAAGAGGGTTCTTCTACATAAAATGGGGCAATGAGGATTACTTGAGATAGTGGTTATAAAGCACCTGTAAGAATGGAGCCACCACATAGCTTGCTTTCTCTCAGAAGCAGATGAAAAAATGACATGGGAGCATCTCCTCTGTTCTTTCTGACCCTTATGATGGCCAGCCTGTTCCTTTGGATTTTATATAACTGTAAGTTACCCCATTGACCCTGCATGGCCAACACCATGTTCTCTTAAGCCACAGCACAGTTAATGGCAGTGTATGTTCTCCTCGCTCCATGCACACCTGTCATTAGCACCATCAGTGTGCAGAGGACTGCCAGCCCCAAACTCAGCTACATACCCAAATCTAGGGGCAAGGTCAGGAAAAGGATTAGACATTTAGATGGCTCATCCCCCTTTCATTCACATGTTTCCTGAGCACTGACATCCTCTGACATCTGGCACCATGCCAGATACCAGGGATGAAAGGTTTAATAACACATGTTACAGTCAGGCGAGATGAGGACCACGAGAGTGGTGTAGACATGGTGCTTTGGGAGCACTTATATCACGTCAGTGAGGGGGAAAGGTATCCGAAAGGCGGAAAAGACCTGTCTTCTGTTATTTGAGAGCTGTTCCTGACACTCATAATATTGGAAGAAAGTGGGGACTGGCCTGGTGGCGCAAGCGGTTAAGTGCGCGCGCTCCGCTACGGAGGCCCGGGGTTCGGATCTGGGTGCGCACCGACGCACTACTTGGCAAGCCATGCTGTGGCGGCGTCCCATATAAAATGGAGGAAGATAGGCACGGATGTTAGCCCAGGGCCAGTCTTCCTCAGCAAAAAAAAAAAATAAAAAAGAGGAGGCTTGGCAGATGTTAGCACAGGACTGATCTCACACACACACACAAAAAAAGCTTGGCTTTTTCCAAAAGATTGGAAGAAAGAAAGCCATCTATGGAGGACAAAGAAAATATTCTTTTAGCATTTGGGAATTGTGGACATCGAGTTAACAAAACATTTTCCTCTTCCGTTTGAGAATCTGACTTTCAGTTAACTTTTTGGCTCCATTCCCCTGGGAATCTGATAAAGGCACACTGTCACCTAGGCTCCTAAGTAATACTGCTGATGATAAAAAATGACTGTTGATTGGTAAATTGCTTACGGGCAGGGGGTCAGGGCCTATAGGGTCTATAAAGAGCTGATAGGAATGCTGGACGTTGTGGAGACTCTTTTTTTTTTTTTTAATTTTTTTTTGCTTTAATTTTTTTTTTTTCCCCAAAGCCCCAGTAGATAGTTGTATGTCATAGTTGCATATCCTTCTAGTTGCTGTATGTGGGACGCAGCCTCAGCATGGCTGGAGACGCAGTGCTTCGGTGTGCGCCCGGGATCTGAACCCGGGCCGCCAGTAGTGGAGCACACGCACTTAACCGCTAAGCCACAGGGCCGGCCCGTGGAGACTCTTATAACTGGCATGACCCTTATGGGGACACCTGAAGGTGTGTCTGTGGAGTTGTTATAAGAGAATATTGACTCCTTGGGGCCGGCCCCATGGCTTAGCGGTTAAGTGCGCATGCTCCGCTACTGGTGGCCCGGGTTTGGATCCTGGGCGCGCACCAACGCACAGCTTCTCTGGCTATGCTGAGGCCATGTCCCACATACAGCAACTAGCAGGATGTGCAACTATGACATACAACTATCTACCGGGGCTTTGGGGAAAAAAAGGAGGAGGATTGGCAATAGATGTTAGCTCAGAGCCGGTCTTCTTCAGTAAAAAGAGGAGGATTAGCATGGATATTAGCTCAGGGCTGATCTTCCTCACAAAAAAAAAAAAAGAGAGAATATTGACTCCTGTGGGTCATGAGGCTTCTACCCTGGATGGCCCTGTACCCACCTGAGGGGAGCATCTTTCTCTAACACCTGGGGCAAAGAGAATATCTCCTTGATGACTGTGGGGACTCCCACTGGAGAGGATTTGATGCTGCCTTGCTGGCAAGCTGTGTTTCCTGTCTGATACCCTTCTAAGTGACTCCAAATGCCAGTGTGGCCTATGGCAGTCCTGTGAGTCTGAATGCCTAGTTGGATCCAAAAAGATCCCCTTGTGTAGAGGCTGGCCTGGTGGCGTAGTGGTTTAAGTTCATGTGCTTTGCTTTGGTGGCCCAGGGTTTGCAGGTTCAGATCCCAGGCGCAGACTTATGCACCACTTATCAAGCCGTGCTGTGGCAGGCGTCCCACATATAAAGTAGAGGAAGATGGGCACAGATGTTAGCCCAGGGCCAATCTTCCTCAGCAAAAAGAGGAGGATTGGCAACAAATGTTAGCTCAGGGGTAATCTTCCTCACACACACAAAAAAGATCCCCTTGTGGGTGTGGGAGCGATGTAGAGCTGGTGTCCAGGCATCTAAGGGGGAAATGACTCTTAGCCGATCCCTGCTAAGTGGGCGGGAAGACGGGCATCAGAATAGCAGGCAGGGACTGAGTCTGGCCTGTGGTGGGCACATGGAAAGCTGTCCAGGCAGGGGAAGAGTTGAGCTCAGTTCTAAGTTTAAGGCGGAGAAACAAGCAGGCACAGCCTATCTAGGGAACATGTGAACCTCTCCTGCCCCCAAACAGTCACACAGGTCGAATCCAAAGATCCCCCTGGAGGGCCACTCTCACCTTCACTTTATAGCCTTCAGCCACCAGGAAGCTCGTGCTGCTGATGTTCCTGTGGAGTTCTGTGGATGCTTCAGAATGGTGCAGCCTGACACGGACCAACAGCAAGGAGAATTAGTCACCTTTGCACAGACTTTCTTTAGGGGGCTTGACAGGCATTACTGGGATAATGAGGCTGGTCAGCATCACGCCTTCTTGATGAGTAGCTATCCATGGATAGGCGGGGAAACCAGGAGGCAGAGGTGAGATTTAACAATTGTGTGCTGTGAGTATAGAGCAGAGCTAAGATGCAACCCCAAGTGTCCATTGGACAAGTGAGTGTAACAGCCCTTGTGAAGCGTGTGCAATCTGGTACTAGAGGTCACTTTAGGCAGAGAAGGAGGAAGGTGCTTCTGTGGTGCTCTGCCTGGGAAGTGATGGGCAGATCAAAGTGCAAGAGGCATGGCTGGATGGTTGGACCATGCCTAGGACTCTTCTGGTTGAAACAGAATGAGAAGCTGGGGTTTCCTCCAACTTAGTAAGTGGTAAGTGCTTCAGATTAATGGAGCCCCTGGATTCCAGCTTGGTTGTTATCATAGTATCTGCCTTAGGTTGAGTTCTTCCAGTAGCAGATCATGAGCCAAGGATTTGGGTACAAAGTGATTTATTAAGAAGGTATTCCCAGGCAAAACTGGTAAGGGAGTGGAGGAAGCAGGATAGAGGAGGAGAAGAAATCAAGCAAGGGTGTGATTTCAGTTGAAGTTCCAGCGTCAGCTTGACCCCATGGAGATCTCTAGAGGATAAAACCCTCAGGGTTTGTTCTGCATGAAGCAAAGAAGCTGGACTTTTGTATTCACACTAGTTGTTCAATGGCAATGGACTGGGGGTGAGGGGGATTGGGACAGGGACGGTGGATATAAAACTCCTGGGCACTTTCAGCTATCTATAAGGGCCAAGGGGCTCCAGTGCCCATGGATATTCCTCTGTAGATGGTAGCCATGAGGTGTTAGCAGCAAAGCATACTAAGTGGGGGATGAGTATGCAGAGCTGGTAAAGGGACTGTCTGGATGGGGCAGTAACAGCCCCAGTCCCCTACGATCCGAAATTACTTCTTATAAAACCCACTGGTGTAGGGAGTCAAGAAGAAATAAACTTTATGATTTCAAATAATTAGCTAAGGCAGTATTTCCAAAAGTATGGGATAAGTGGTATGCAAGATGACATAGTGAGAAAATTATTCTCCCTTCAATTTATTCCAGTCTTTCTAATCACATCAAGGAGAAAGTCTCAGTTGGTGTCAGGGGCCTTTAACACCTCTCTAAATCTGCTAATATCTCCTTTGTGCAAAGAGAATGTGCGTCTGAATTATGGACCTTTGGCAGGCAGCATCATCCAGCCAGAATTTAATAACATTCTTTTAGTTTCATTTGTGGTCACCTATTTATGACAAGTGATTCTGGTGTCTAATTTATGGTAGTAATAGAAGTGTCCTTTTATTTTACTTTATTTAGGTTTTTAAAAAATGAGCTAATTTAAAGAAAAGTATGAAGTAAATAATACTGGCAGTATTGTGGATTTGGTAAAAACCATGGAAGCGGCCTGTGAGTGACTGACCTTTGGGGACCCTTGGGCTAAAGGAACCAGAGACTTTAGCAAATGAGAGTAGGTAGAGTTGCCAGATAAAATACAGGACACCCAGTTGATTTTGAATTTTGGATAATCAATGAATTTTTTTTAGTATAAGTATGTCCCAAAATTACATGTGACATACTTCTAAAAAATTATTTATTGTTTATCTGAAATTCTGTATATCTGAATTTTTAGTAAAAATATGTCTCATGTAATATTTGGGGTATACTTATGTTAAAAAATTATTCATTGCTTATCTGAAATTCAAATTTAACTGGGCATCTTGTATTTTTGTTTGCTAAATCTGGCAACCTTAAGAGTAAGACCTCAGAGGGAGAAGGTCAAATACTGTATGATTTCCTTCATTAAGTAGTAGATAATAACAACAATAAACAAACACATAGAGACAGAGATTGGATTGGTGGTTACCAGAGGGGAAGGGGGGAGGGGGGAGGGCGAAAGGGATAATTCGGCACGTGTGTGTGTTGATGGGTTGTAATTAGTATTTGGGTGGTGAACATGATGTAATCTATGCAGAAATAGAAGTATAATGATGTACACCTGAAATTTATACAATCTTATAAACCAATGTTACTGCAATAAACAAAAAATTAAAAAAAAAAAGATTAAGATCTGTCCAGCTCCACAAGAGCAGACTGGACATTAAATTCCACCCTTACTTCTGTGAGCTGGTGCTCACTGGGTGAAGCTTTCTTTTCCCTCCTGTCTAAGGTGTTCTAATCAGAGTAAGTAGAAAACAACTTAAGGAAGGGGAGATCTATTAGGGCTTCCGGCCTGTTCTCTCATCATCTCTGGGATTATCAGTAGGGAAGACAGACTCATTCCATTCTTCTTGGTGCCCTTTCACCCCATCTGGTACCTGTACAAGCCTGTGGCTGCCCCCAGGACCAGGACGATGCGCACAGCAAACATGAGCTCCTTTTCCCTGTCCAGCAGTTCCCGCAGGGTCCCGAGCTCACAGTACTCCATGACGATGGAGAATTGAGGCGGGGTCACTGATGGAAAGGAGCCAAACACTATGAAGATGCTGCCCCACTCAGAGCTCCTACTCTCTGCAGTCCATCTCCCCCTCTCTACAGAGACAGACTCAGCTCTGCTAAGAATCCCATTTCTCCCCCATCCTCCATCCCCATCTCAGTTTGCTCCCTGACCTCCTACCCCCAGAGTTCCCATACCTCTTCTTCATGGTATTTGGCATGTCATAATTCTACATTTCTCTTAGTTACTTGAGTAATGTCCCCCTCAACTCAATTGTAAGCCCCAAGAGGGCGGAATCTGTTTTGTTCATACAGCGCTCATAAGGAGCTTAGTAAATATGTGTGGAGGGAATGAACAATGCACAGACTTCAGAGGCTGGTGAAGAAAACTCAGACAGGAAGCCGAGGTCTCAAGTCACGGGCCCGAGATGCAAGAACTGACACACAGAATATCAGTCACCTCAGCTGTCACCCAGGAGAATAAACATCACTGGAAGTTTTCCTTTAGGCTGGGACTCTATGCCCTGAAATCAGGTCACCTGAGACTGTGGAGAAACTCCCAGAGGGGATAAAATAGCAGTTGCTCTGTCCTCTCTGTAGGCAAGAGCAGCAAAACATAACCAGCAGGAAAAGCCATGCTATGAAAGAAAATGCAGCCAAGTTAAAAAATAAAAATTAGGGGCCAGCCCAGTGGCGTAGTGGTTAAGTTCACGTGCTCTGCTTCAGCGGCTCAGGGTTTGCGAGTTCAGATCCTGGGCGCAGACCTACACACTGCTCATCAAGCCATGCCGTGGTGGCGTCCCACATACAAAATAGAGGAAGACTTGCACATATGTTAGCTCAAGGACAATCTTCCTCAAGCAAAAAGAGGAAGATTGGCAACAGATGTTAGCTCACAGCCAATCTTCCTCACCAAAAAATAAATAAATAAATAAATAAAAATAAAAGGAACCTGACATATGAGATTCTTGGTAAAGAGGCAGGTTTAGTTTTTAGGTTTAATCTACACCAGTGATGATCAAGGGTAGATTCCTTGTTCAGATCAATCAGCTTTATAATTGACAGCAACAAAATGCACCCATCATCCAGGGCAGCATCTGAACAAGTATCCTCTTGGTTCCCAGTGGGCTGGCAAGCGGAGACATGGCCCCATTAGTGCAAACCAGCCCTCGGGCTGAAGCCAACTTCAAGCCTTCCTCTCCCAAAAGAGGATGGGAACCTGTATCTTAGGAGGCAAAAAAATAATAATAATAATGTTGATAATAATAACACTGTGTAGATTCTACCCTTTTAGCTGTTCATTAAAAATGCAATGCACTATAACACAGAAGATATATGACAGACCAGCAAGAGATTGACCTACCCTAGAAGCACCCTTACCTGTTTCATCAATGCAAATCCCAAATATACGCAGGATGTTGGGAGAATCAAATTTCTTCATGGCTCTGATCTCATTATTGAAAGTATGCCTCACTATTCTATGAGGATAAAAGGGGAAATTAGGACTTCAGGAACAGAGAACTGTTTAGTGTAGCTCTCTGAGAACTCAGAGAACATTTAGTGTAGTGACCATCTGCATATGTGTGGGGTGGGAGGGATTGTCAGCATCTCCTGGGGTGAGAAATGGTGCTCTGATGATGGCAGTGTATAGACCCCCTCAGATGTATTTGGCAGCAGAATTAGCATGTACTATACATGCTACAACACAGATTTACCTTAAAAATATCATGCTAAGTGAAAGAAGCCTGACACAAAAGGCCACATATTGTATTATTCCATTTATGTGAAATGTCCAAAGCAGGCAAATCTATGAAAAACAGAAAGTAGATTAGTGGTTGCCTAGGGCTAGAAATAGGGGGTGACTGCAATGGGTATAGAGTTTCTTTGGGGGATGATGAAAATGTTCTATAATTATATTATGGCAATTGTTGTACAACTCTGTCAACATATTAAAAGCCATTAAATGGTAGGCTTTAAATGAATGAATCTTATGGTATGTAAATGATATCTTAATAAAGATGTTGAAAAGTACAATCTCAATCAAAATCTCAATGTATATTTTGAGGAAAGTGATAAACTTTCTCTGATACTTATTCAGTTAAGTCAACCTGAGAAAGAAGGGTCAAGAGGAAGGAGATGTCTTACTAGATATTGAGAATTACTACAAAGTCATAATAAAAAATAAAACAAAACAAAACACAGTGTGTTATTGGTAGAAAGACAGACAAGTTGACCAGTGGAACAGATTAGAGAGATCAGAGCCACATCCATGTCTAAATAGAAACTTCACATACAATAAATGTGGCACCACAAATTAATGGGGAAGGACATTTAATAGACGGTATAGAGAAAATGGACCCACTGTGTGGATAAAAATAAAACTAGGCCCTATATAATATCACATACAAAGGTGGATTCCTGGAGCCTTAAAGCCTAAATGTGAAAAATAAAACTGTAAAGTTAATAGAAGAAAATCTAGAATAACTTTGCCATCCAAGGGTGGGGAAGGGCATCTCAAGAGCACAAATAACAAGGTAAAATATTGGTGGATTTGATTATATCAAAATTTAAGAGGTCTATTTGATGATGGACACCATGGACAAAATTAAAATATAGGTAATGTGGTCAGAGAAGGCCTTTGCAATATCTAAAGCTGACAAGTGATTAATTTCCACAACATACAAGGATCTCCTACAAACTGACAAGACAAAAACAGCAACTATAACAGAAAAAAGGGCAGAGGATATGAATAGGCAATATACAGAAGTGGAAACCCAAACAGCTAAGCCATATAAATAAATGTTCAAATTCATTAGTAAACAAAAATGCAAACTAAAATAACTATAAGATATTACTTTATAACTATAGAGATGAATCAAATTAGAAAGCTGGACAATACCAAGGGATGGTGGAGATGTATAACTGTAGAGCTCTCAGGCATTGCTGGTGGAAATGTAGGCGTATACAGCCCATTCTGAAAAGTTACCTGGTAGTACTTAGTCAATTTCATATATGCCAACCCTATGATCCATCAATTTCTCTCCTGGCAATCTAGCCCAAAGAAATTCCCACAGAGGTCCATAAAGGGACATGTCATGTTATTTCTGGTGGCGGAAAGTTGGAAACAGATTGGGTTGCATCACTGGAAAAATAGGTAAAATGTGGATCTACGCCATGGACAGCAGTCAGAAGAAAAGGACTACAAGTCCATGATGCTGAGTGCGAAAGGTAAGAAAAGTAGGCAACAGACACATAACACTACCATTTTCGAAAATTAAAAATGTACACACATATAATAACAACATACATTTCACATAAACACATACAAACAAAACACAGTTTATTGTCTGTGGTGGGGGATGAGGAACTGAGAAACAGAAATGAAAGGGAATAAATTTTTAGAAATATCTAAATACATGAATAAAAGAGAGAAGTTTCTAGAATCAAGGTTGGAAGACATGCGTTTAAGTCTAGGCTCTGCTCCTTAATAGTAGAGGGCAAGTCATTTAACCCTTTGGGGCCTCAGTTTCCCCACCTAAAATGGAAACAATATGCCTCTCTCCTTGGGGAGTTACGGAGAGGAATTGAAACGAACCAGGAGAGAACTATACAAAAAGACTTACCCAATGCTTCTGGCCTGGGGTTTATTGAATACTTTTATGGCCACTGGAGATTTGTGGTATTCTCCCTTATAAAGTGCACTGAATTCGTTTTTCCTTAGTAGGATCCAGTCGTATCCTGAAAGCTCCTCCTTCTTAATCTCCTTGATTTGATCATGTGGGATCTCCTTCACGGGTTTCTGTAGGTCTGACCTCAGCCAAGGAGAAAAGGAAATCCAGTCAATGAGCTGAGGAAGGTGTCCCAAGGGAAGAGGTGTCTTAGTAACATGTGAGGGGGAAGCCCTTACACCATAAAGCAAAGCTGGCGCTGGCTGGAGCTTCTGATTGACTCAGCCGGGGAAGAGGTGCCAATGCCTCCGAGTGACTGGTAAAGACACAGCTGGATGGTTAACAGAAACCTGTCATGCACTTCCTTTCCCTACTCTTCAAATCCTGCCTGTCTCTCCAGCTGAAATCCCCATCTCCATCTATCTCTTTCACTTGGCGCTTGAGCGTGTAGTTCCTGTCTAGTCATTTCAATTCTAATAGTTAGATACATAGTTCAGGCTCAGTAACTCCACCGCTGTTATGTGTTCACATGTATCTCTTCCCGCTCCCTTCCTCCGCCCCATGGCTGTGAGCTCCTGGAAGGCAGGGTCATTCTCTGCATCTTAGTTTCCTCTACGTACAGGTTCTAGCATAAAGCAGATACTCACAGTTTTGTTGAATGAATGAATGACCATTTTAAATTTGATTTGAATTTCTTGTTAGAAATTCAGCAAATGGGTTGAAGCTTTGATGCTATCTAAAGGAAGTTTTCAGCACTTTGACAGGTGCTAGAAGACATCTTGCTGGTCAAGAAGCTCCCTTCAAATGCTACTCTATGAACAAAGCCTGGGCTAGCCATGAGCACATCTCAAAACCTGTGAGCTGCTTCCAGCCATCCTGCCCAAAAAATGAAGAAGGGTGGGGGTGGGGGCGGGCTGGAGTTCCTAATAAATAAATGACTTGTAGTTTGGGGATGGTCAGAAGCAGCAGGGCACATGATAACTCACACTGCCTCACGATTTTGGTGGTTTCTTTCATGTCGATTTCCAATTTTCTCAATGAAGCTTCTATAATTTCACTTCCTGCAGGAAAAAGAGCAGCAAATACTCAAAAATGGAAATGCTAATTAAAAGCACACTAAGATGCCATTTTTTACCTGTCATATTCATTGCAGTGGGAATTGCTACCACTCATGAATATTCATCTTTCTATGTCTAAGCACACAGGAAGTGCCTTGAAGCCTGGCTGCATGACTTGCTTTGGCCAAGAAATGAAGTGAAAGGGATGTCAGGGAAGTTTGTGTCAACATAAAAGTGCCATAATATTGAAACATCCTGGAAGGAGGACAGCGACCTTGGAGAGTCTCCTGGACTTTGCTTGAATGAGAAATAAACTTTTGGGGGCCGGCCCCGTGGCTTAGTGGTTAAGTGAGCGCGCTCTGCTACTGGAGGCCCGGGTTCGGATCCCGGGCGCGCAACGACGCACCGCTTCTCCGGCCATGCTGAGGCCGTGTCCCACATACAGCAACTAGAAGGATGTGCAGCTATGACATACAACTATCTACTGGGGCTTTGGGGAATAAAAAAGAGGAGGATTGGCAATAGATGTTAGCTCAGAGCCGGTCTTCCTCAGCAACAAGAGGAGGATTAGCATGGATGTTAGCTCAGGGCTGATCTTCCTCACAGAAAAAAAAGAGAAACTTTTGTTTCCTTAACAAGCTGAGTTTTTTTTTTTTAAACAACAGCATAATCTAACCTATCCTGATTTATATACTCAGAAATATGCTTAAAAATTGATAACACACTATATAGAGCGGCCAACCATCCTGGTTTTCCCAGGACCGAGGAGTTCTAAGGACATGAGACCTTCAGTGCTAAAACTAGGAAGTCTCTAATGGAAAAAATATGGAGAAACAGACAATCTCGTACATTGTTGGTAGAAGTGAAATTTGTATAACCTCTGTGGAGGGTAATCTGGCAACCTCTATCAAAATTTTAAATGCTCATACTCTTTGACCCAGCAATTAGACCTAATAATTCCACTTCTAGGAATTTTCCTAAAGAGATCTTGAAATATATACAAAGGTGCACATTGCAGGATTATTTACAATAATGAAAAATAGGCCAAAAATGTCCATCAATAGGGAGCTGCTTAAATATATCTGGTCCATGTATACCAAAGAATACTAGACAATTCTATGGACATTTACATGGAAGAATATTCAAGATTATTTAATGAGAAAAGCAAGAAGCAGAACAGTGTGTTAGTATGCTACTGATTGTGTAGTGACAACAACAAAATATATATGCTTAAATCTCCAGGAGGCTATTCAAGAAACTGATAAGAGAGAGTGTGTCTGGGGAGGGAACCTTGATGTCAAGGGTGAGTGGGAGATTTACTTCTCATGCTGGGTCCTTTTTGTACCTTTTGAACTTTGTACCATGTGAATGAATTGCCTAATAAAAATGTTTTTACAAAATTTAAAAGCTAGAGCAGGAAGCAAATCTTTTCCTCCAAGTTATGACACCGATATGCCTCCTACCTCCACCAGGAAATGGACCAATGAACTCCGAAGATTGTGAAGGCCGGGGACCAATCCTGCCCTTTAGGTGCGTCAGCCTCTGCACTGCCCCAACCTCACTCCAACCCAATCCCTGACTTTCTTTCTCCCTGGAGGCAGGTGTTTGGTTGGGGAATTACAAATGTCTCACTTTCCCTCCTCCAGAAAATGACTCATTTTGCCCGCAGGTCTCCTCCAGGTCTTGTTTGTTCTGTTTGAGTGTCTCCCGCTGACCTGATTGAGGATAGACCGCCCTCCACATCAAGGTGGCAGGACAATTATTCTTCTGGGCTCTGGTGCCCAGAAGGTTCATCCAAGTGTCCTCACCCTCTCCTCACTTCCTCTTTCTCCACCCACAATCCTTACAAGAGGGAAGGATTTGGAATTCATATCACCAGGATCTACAAAAGTGTAAAGAGGATACATTTTTTCCATCCTCCATTCTCTTCCGTTTTCTGCTGGCCCTGGCTCCATTGTCATCCCACACTCGAATCTAGCCCATGTCTCATCCCCTGAGAACCTTGCCCTCCACTAAGTCAAACTAGGGCCACTCTAGTTCAAGCCACTGTTATCTCTTACATGGCCTTGCTTTGGGTGTTAGCGGATGTGATACAAGTAGAGGCTTGAAACATGCTGGTACAGTTGGGCTTGCCTTCTTGCAATTCTGCCACAACGAGAACATTCTCCAGGTACTCACTGCTTCTTCAGCCTTGGCTCCAGAATGAGACATGTGGAACAGACCCAAATTGGACCTGGTGCTTGCGGCCAAGCCTAGACAAGCCCACATGAGATCAGGAGAACACCAACGGATCCACAGATTCATGAGCAGGAGAATTAATGTTGTTTTAAGCCTCTGAGTTTTGCTATGGTTTGTTATGCAGTATCAGTGCAGCAATAATTGGCTAATACACATCAGTATGGTCCATTTGCTACACGGCAGCCTGAGTGATTTTCTTTTAATACAAATCAAATCATGACAGGCCCACATTTAAGGACCTCCCTTCACTGGCTTCCTATGACTCTTAGAATAAAATCTAAAATTCTTATCATGCCTACACAGCCCTGCATGACCTCTCTCCTGTATCTTTTGACCTACTTCCCCACTTTCATCTGATACCACTCTCTCTCCCTTGCTGACCACACCGAAGCTATCCTGGCCCTCTGGCTGTTCCTTGTACATGCCATCTTATTTCCACCTCAGGGCCTTTGCACTCACTGTTGTCTCTGCCTGGAATGCTCCTCTCCTTCATCTTCACATGGCTTGTTCCTTCTCATTATTCAAGGTGTCCATTCAAATGTCACCTTGTCAGAGAGGCTTTCCCTGACCACTCTCTCTGCACCCACTGTTGATTTCCATCTCATCACCCTGCTTACGACTTTCATTGCCTTTCAATAAAACAATTTACTTAGACCTCTATATGCAGATTTTATGTTCCATAAGGGCAGAGATCTCATCTATTTTGCTCTGTGCTGTATCTCCAACATTTAGAACAGTGTCTGGCGGGCCGGCCCCGTGGCTTAGCGGTTAAGTGTGCGCGCTCTGCTGCTGGTGGCCCGGGTTCGGATCCCGGGCGCGCACCGATGCACAGCTTCTCCAGCCATGCTGAGGCGGCATCCCACATACAGCAACTAGAAGGATGTGCAGCTGTGACATACAACTATCCACTGGGGCTTTGGGGGAAAAAATAAATAGATAAATAAAATTATAAAAACAAAAAAACAAACAAAAAAAAACACTGAGAACAGTGTCTGGCACACAGTATTTTCTCAATTCGTGTTTGCTTAGTTACTTAGTTAATTCTTCCTCCTGCATAATTTACATATTAACTGAAGGTCCTGGAAAAACTAAGGCTGAAGGAATTAGCTTCTGGAATTCCAGGTATCACATCAAAAAGAGAATGGAAAGGCAAAGAAGACCCATCAGTATTATCTCCCCTCCACTTTGCCCATTGGCTTGCCCACATTTCACCAGCCCCCACCATATGAGGGCCCAGGGATGTTAGGAGTTCTGAGTCACATGAATAAACACCTGCTCAAACCTCTTCAGCCTGCCTGCTCCTTTGGTCAATCAAAATGAGATTAATATGCCCCCATTTGCACTCCCCTCTACCCCCCAAAAAACCTTACCACTTCTTGGTGTTTGGAAGACTTGCATGTCTTCCTCTGCATCCTGCTGATCTTCCTGTTGCCAGGACACTTTTTGGTTGATGCTTGAAAGATGCATCCATTGATCCACCTGAAGCAGCAGCGAGAGCTCCTCCCCAACATCTCTCAGCCTTTCGTTCACTTCACTGAAGAGTATTTTCTCATGTCCTGCTGTTAGAAACTTCCGGATATTGGATTTATTGCTGAACTCATCTATCTGCCTCCGAGCTTCCTTGAGGACAGCATGGAAACGGTTCAGGGCAGTGGTTATCTCAGCGGGCAGGTTCCCCTCTCCTTGGGCCTGGAGCTTTCGCAGAGGCTGCAGCAGGCCATGAACACGGCTCCCTAGACGCCGGCACTGTTTCTGGCAGTATTTCATCTCTTCACACTGTTTGTAGATGTACAGGCCTAAGGAGATGATCTGCCCCACTGTATCCATGTCTGGAAGAAACTGATGGAATTTGTTTAAGTCTCAGAATCTTCTACATATTTACTACTGGGCTAAGGGAACATCAAAGGTGTCTGTGATTTAAATGGCTGAAGAGGTCTCCCCGCTATTTTCACGTAAGGTAGAGATAGTTTGATGTCCACCGAAATCTGTTCTGCCCTTCCATAGTAACAGAGTTGAAGCTGGGAAGTGTTGGCCCAGCTAGGACTATATCTCCCAGTTTTTCTTGCGACTTGATGTGGCCACATGACTAGTTCTCACCAATGGGGCAAGAGTGGATGTGATATGTGCTACCTTGGGCTGAGGCTAGTTTGTCTCCGTTATACACTGTCAGCTGGACGCTAGGATGATGCAGCCCGAGGTGTGGTGGAGCCCCAAGAAGAAGGCGCAGTCCCAGGAAGGAGGAATCCTGGATACCTGAATCATTGCTTGGAGGAGAGTGGCTCACAGACCTGGAATATCTGCCATGGACTGTTAAGGGAGTGAGGAATAAACTTCTATTGCATCTGAGCTATTTTTGGGGGGTCTATTTGTTATATCAGTTTAGCCTATTCTAACAAATATATCCTGCCAAAGGATAGCAAGGACAATAGGATGGTGGGTTGGAAAGCTCAGGCCCTGTCTAAATTAGGCAAATGTTACCCAGCAAGTCACCAACCGTTGCCCTTCAAGGATAAAGGGCCCAGTGGCGGAAGATCTTCTAGTTTTTAAAGAATAGTCAGAAATCTTGATTTTTATGTTAAATCTTTCAATTTAAAATCCTGCAACCAAGTCAAAAAATGTTTTAAAACTTGTGCAGTCCAACACTGTGTGGGTCAAATAAAACATGTTTGCCAACTGGATATTGCCCATGAAGCCTCAATTTGCAATCTTGGCCACAGTTGGCCAATGATATTCAGGATTGTAATAGAAATTGGCTTCTGTCAAGCTCGAATTTTCCTTTCTGTCTCTTTTCCCAATGCTTGAGCATCCCTGTCTCCCTAGTCCTCACCCCAAGCCCTCTCTGTTGTGTTTTTAGCAAGCTGCAAATTTGTTCCAGCCTCCCCAGTGGCCTAAAATCAATAAGAGTTGATGTTGTAAGTGCTGCCCCCCGAGAGGCATTTGCACTAAAGACTCTGAGATTTTCCAGGTCCAGAGGAATTCTGGTGGACCTCTGTGTTCCCTGCACAGCATCCATTTCTCTACTTCCCATTACCACCCAGATTTTCAGTGGCTATGTGCTCCTCCTCCACTCAGCAATGAGTTTTTGGGGAGCTGGTCCCATCCCAGGTTCCAGGGGTGAGACATGATTTGTCTAAGCCAGCAGTTTTCAATCAAAGGTGATTTTGCCCCTCAGGAGACTTTTGGCAATGTCTGGAGACATTTCTGGTTGCCACAACCGGAAATCTAGCAGGTAGAGGTCGGGGTGCTACAATGCATGGGACAGCCCCCCCGTAACAAAGAATTATCCAGCCCAAAATGTCAATAGTTCAGGGGTTGAGAAACCTTGATCTAAGCCATCAGACAATTCCTAATAGCCTATCACAGTGATTGGTTCAAAACTGGGCAACTGGGCTAATTTGAGTGGAGGAGAATGTTTGCTGGGGAGCTTCCCTAAGACAGCCCGGGAAGCCAGCTTCTAACTCTAAATCTCACTCTCTCTTCTCTGAATATGAGTGAGAAAGCATAGATCCCTGATCCTGAAGCCTTGGAATGAGGCTAACCTATGGATGGCAGAATGGAAAGAAAAGAAAAATCTGAGTCCTTGGTGACAACACTGAGCCACTGGTTTGAACTGACCCTGCAGTCTACCCCATTCCTCAATTACAGGTTTCATGAACCAATAACCTTCCTCATTGTTTAAGCCAGTTTGAATCATGTTTGCTGTACTTGCAACTAAAGGCAACTAGGTTCAGTAATGAATGATCATAATAACGATGATCACAAATCTCTCTATTGACCTACCACATGCTAAGTGCTTTGGAATCATGAGCTCACTGTAGTTAGCTTCATTTTATAGATGAAAATACTGAAGTTCAAGGAGGTTGCATTTAAAAAAGTACAAGGCCATGGACACAGTTCCCAAAGTACTTTTAAACAAAGTTAATCTCCAACAGCTCAATGAAACAGGTAGGCCACCTATTATCACCATTTTACAGATCAGATAACAGTTTGGAGAAGATAATTGGCCTGGAATCCAAATCTGGCTTTAAAATATGAGCAAGAAACTAGCAGAAGTGAAATCAAATAAGCAACCAATTGATACACTTTTGTTTTTGTTGTCTTCGAGTTACATTGATCTGGGAAGGGAAGTAACAGGTATTAGGGAATGACTAAAAAGACTCAGTGGATCTCAGGCTACATATCAATTCCCAGTTGCTAAGCAGATGCCTTCAAGGCTGTTTCTTGGGACTCACGAGGGCGATGGCCTTTACATCTTTCTCTGGTCCTCTGGAGACAGAAGCAGATGTGAAAGTATTGCTCAGTATTGCTCAGGGAATCTTGCGGATTTCAGCCTCATAGCTCCAAGCTCCAGTTACCTTATCAGCAGCCTCATCAAAAAGCCATATCTCAGCAATAACTAATCACAAAAGATAATGGGAAAAATGTTTCACGCATAAAAGTGACAATTTAAAACAAATTTTACAGGAAACGTGATCGGATATTATGAAGAAAACCACACAAAACAAAGCTTGAAGAAATGCAGACAACTGTTACATTTCTTGTTGGGAAGATTAAAAATGACAAACCTGGGAATCCTTCCCAAATATAAACCCAATTTAAGGCAGTTCCAATAAAATTCCCAATGGTAATATTTTGGTATTGAAACCAAATGATCTTGAAGTTCATTTGAAAGAGGAAATTAGTAGAGATAACCATGATTTAAAAATATATGTATAAATAAGGGGACTTACTTCTAAGATATTAAAATATTAAAAATTGTATTAACTAAAATCGTTTGGGGCTTATAAGTATATGATAAAGATACGGAAAGGCAGAAAGGGAATATAAATACATATACTTTGACTCAACACTGTGAATCTCTAGGAACTTAACGCTGTAGAAAAGCTTGCGTGTGTCTAGATAGATGGATACTAAGATGTTCACTGCAGTGCTATTTATAACATGTAAAACTGCTAAAAACCCTAATAAGAATATGTTCATATGTTGCTTGTAGTAAAATAATGAGGGGGGAAAAGTCATTAATTTTAAAAGTGAAAAATTTTAAATGGTAGTAACGATATAAATCCAAAAAGAACTCCAGTGCCATTTCCTCCTCCCCTACAAAAAAATGGTTATCAAGCATCCCTCTTCTGAAGAGACATTTTACATCAGGTCACTCTCCCTGTGCCTAAAATGGGTCCCAGGAAAGGAAGAAGGCATTAATCATAAAGAACTGGAATCATCCATCTTGATCGTTTCCCCACTCACAACCGGGAGTTCGTCTGTCTAGGGCTGCTTGGACAATTCTTCTGAGCCAGGTTCCCGAGGCCCCTCCGCGATCGCCACCCCGATCCCCACCCCATTCCGCTTGTTCTTTGGCAGGAGGCAGAGACCCGAGCAGGCAGCTTCACTATGAGAGCGGAGGAAATGAAACCAACTCGGTCCCGCGTTCCCGGAAATCGGACTATGGGTCACCCCCCACCCCTACCACGGGTTCTCCCATCACTGCCCAGGAATCCCGCTGCAGCCCCTCTGCCCCGCCGTCTCTGGGGACCGCGAGCGCCCCGGAACGCCCCCCAGACTCACCCTCGTCCCTACCGAAGGCGTCCAACTGTCCCGCGCACAGTTCCAGGAAGACACCTCCCACTTCTCCGACGGCTGCCTTCTGCCCAGGGGAGAAATCTGCAGGTGCGAGGGGCGGGTTCCCTGAGCCTCCTTCCCTCGTGTGCCGGGCGCTCTGCACTCCTGATGGCGGCGCGGGACTGGAAGCGCGACAGTGCAGTCCAGCTTCCTTTCGAAGTGAAAGCCGGGTCAGCACGCTGTGCCTAAGTCCAGCCCCTACACGTGTCCCTCCAATCAGCCTTCGGGCGGCTGTCAACCCCGCACCCTCCAAAGGCCACCGCCTCAGGGCTGGGACTTGGGCAGGGAAGTCAGACGTGCCTCCTTGGAGTCTTCCAAGTAGTTCTTGCTGCCAACTGCCAGGCTCACGATGCCTGGCTCCCTAGAAGAACCACTTTTTAGGCAGTTCAGAGCTCAGGTTCCTTCCTTCCTCCTGGTATTCTCCTCCTGTCCTTTACACTCTCTCCCCAACTTCCTAAATTCATTCAGTAACTATTTATAGAGTACTCATGGGTGTCAGGCTCTCTGCTTGGGGCCAGGGATTCAGAAAGGAATAAGGTCCCAGGAAACTAGAACCAGGGCATAGTATGGGAAGGATTGGATGAGCAAAAAGCTGTGGGAGCCAGAGAGAAGGTTGTTGTGCCTGCTTCTCTGTACTTGAGAATGGAGGGTTGTGGGGAAAGAGACACACCTGAGTGGGAAAAAGAGCACTTCCTCCTCTAACATCATTGCAGCATTTTCTGTTATAGTATGAGCTATGTTTTATTAAAGTTAACTGTGTCCCTAGCTAGAAAGTCCAAATGACGTCATTCATTTTCTCATCAGACTATTTTCCTCTGAAAGGACAGAATTGGATTGTATGAAAAGAACTTTTGGATTGGGAAGGCAGGGGTCGAGGATGTCTAGGGTGTTTGTTTTTTCATTTATTTGCCGTTGCTATTGTTCCCCATCTATTGCATCATTAGTTTTCTTCTTATCTTATGTCAGGTTCTCTAGAAGCAGAGTCTGAGAAAGAGATTCAGATACATGTGATTTATTGAAGGAAGGCCCTCAGGACAGAGGGTAGGATAGGGCAGTGGGGAAAAAACAGCTAAGCAAGGATGTGGTCTCAGTGGAGACTAGCTTCAGCCAGAGTCCATGGGGAGGTCTGGAGCATGAAGCTCTGGAGCAACAGGCAGCTTCCATTCTGCCCAGGATAGATCACATGTTAGATCACAAAAAAATCTTAACAAATTTAAGAAGATTGAAATCATACCAAGTACCTTTTCTGATGACAGTGAGATGAAATGAGAAATCAGCAGAAAGAAAACTGAAAAATTAACAAATACGTGGAAATTAAACAACTCTTGAACAACCATTGTGTCAAAGAAGAAATCAAAAGAAAATTAG